CCCGTCACTAAAGCAAGCAACCCTCATTCATGTTCACTTTAAGCTGCCTGGCTGCTGGCTGCCATCTTGGCTGTCAGTTAATTTGCATATCTCACTGATTATCCAATGGGAAGGGTAGCAGTTGTACACCAATTACCATGTTTCTCTTTTATTAGTGTAGATTTTTAGGGAAGCAATCTCAAATGCAGATGAACTTTATGCCTGAAGGATATTTCTGCACTATTTTCAAAAAGAACTGGAAAGAAGCTAAGGTCCACTGGTGGGAGTGGGCAGCAGAGGGGACTGGGCACCATCAGGAGGGTTGAGCAGCCCACAGCAGGGCTGCAGGGATGGGGCCAGGGACGCAGGAACCCAGGGCCTTGTGAGATGTGGGTCTAGCTGAAGCAAGAAGCATGCAGGCTTGGAAAGCTGCAGCCCCAGGAATTTATCAACACAGAGACTTGGCATAGGGTGTAAGACATCGTTTGGGAATTAGAAGAGTCATTGACAAGTAACACAGACACATTAATAAACGTTTTTGTATATAAAAGAGAGTCGAGCGTAGTCCTCACAAACACGGGATTGGGATCAGGAAGACTTGGGCTGGAGTCCTAGCTCTAGCACTACTGTGAGATTTGGGCTAACCCGAGTTTAGGTGAAAACCTAGACTTTGTAATGGTTTCCCCCACGTTCCAATGGGAGCCACCATGGCGCCCACCATGTGAAATGTGTGCGAGTATTTGATAAGGGAACACATGGGAGCCTGTGGTAGACAAACCATCAATATTAGCTGCAGTGATTAGTAAACACAATGTCCCCAATCTCAAGCCAGTTCCAAAACATTCCTTCCCATCTTTCCTTCCCATCTTTTGTGTTTTATTCCTCCCTGGTGTTATTCCCTCTTTGGTTTTATGACTCCTCAGCTGTGTGTTTCCTTGCCTGATAGTCTTCTCGTTGTGCCCCCACAGGACAACGGGACTGTCACTTGGCTTAGAGTGCGCTGGAGTGAGGTGAGTACCTTCTCTTAAATAGTAGCCAGCAGATGCTGGCAGACAGGAAAACACAGTGGATTGGGTCCATCTTGGCACTTGCGGCCTTCCTTCCCTGAAAGAAACACCAGAGACAGAGCCCCTTGCTGCTCCCTGTTGCTCAACTGGCTCACCTCTGACCCCACAATTTGTTTTCTCTTCCCCAAGGGTGAAGCGACACCTCCTTCCAGCTGGACACAGACTGGTGAGCTGAAGGGGAAACTCTCAGATCCCACTGGTGACACCATGACCTCAGAAGCTGACAGGATCTGCCCAGGTAGACAGCTTCCTCCTCTCTAGCTGGTTCCTGCTCATGATCTAGAATTGAGGGAGGTGCCTCCAGGATGGTTTAAGCAACACAGGAATCAAGAACCTGAAAGGAAATTGATGAGTCTTCCTGAGCCTCCAAGAGGGATCAAGGGGAGTCCCCTCAACCAGAAGTCTATTTGAGGACCTCCTTCCTAGCTCTCTCCTCAGGCTCCTCACTGCCTCCCATTTTCTGCAACTCATGCAATGACTCCAACGAGGCCAGGACAGCACATGGGAGGTGGGAATTTCTTGTCCCTGCACCTGGAACCTGCTAGTTCCTGTAGAAACCTTCCCCTTCAAAGAACTGCCACCTCCCACAGCTGTGCTAGGTCCCTGACCTGTGGCCCAATTATAACCACCTGCGTACCAGGTGTGACTGTCAGGCAGGAACTTCTTCTGTTGATCTCAGATAGCCCTGCGGAGGCCCTTTTTGTTATTTCCCACACCCACCCACATCCTAGCCTGCAAATACAAAGATGTAGTGCTCTGGGTTTCCTCCATCTAAACCCAGGTTTACTTTCTCCCTCAGGGGGTGAAGCAAGAAAAGGTAAAAATACCCCTCCAACCACCCAAATCAACACTGTGTTGCCCAGGCAACCAAATCACCCCCTCCCCACCCCCAGGAGAGGACAAACTTGTTCCTGTTGCAGCATAAGGAGCATAAGGGAGGAGAGGACAGATCAGAAGCCTGCCGCTCCTGACCAGACTCTCAGGTCCATTCCTAAGGATAAATAAGATGACCTCTTGTTTAAGAAGTGGGCAAGGGTGGGGTCAGAGGTGCTTACTAGGAGCTGTGGCCCCTGAGGCCAGCCTGGAGAGGAGAGAGCTGATACTGAGTGATCACAGGATTAGAGCTGAGATTCCAACCCCCACCTACCTGAAGATACCCCTTCACTGCCCACCTTGGAGCACCTGTAAGAAGCAGGAAGAATCCTCTTTGCCTGGTAGCTTTACTCCATCAGTGGCATGTGATCTGAAACGTTATTTTCAAATTTATAAAAATCCCATAGGTAACCTATAGGGTAGAATTCAGAAATCACATGAATTTTTGAAACATAAGGAGGCTTCAACCTACTGTAAGGAAATGTCTGATGGTTGGCCTTGGATTGCACCTTTGAGCTTTCTGCTTCTTGGCTTGGGCCTTCTTTTCCTGTCTGAGTTTCGCTTCCTTTTCTGTGAAATACAAATAATATGTCTTGTGTGTATATGGCAGGAAACACATTTCCATCCTGTCTCTGTACACACAAAACATACACCAGTCCCCAGTCCCTTATCTGAATTTTCAGAGTCTCCCAAATCCCTGAGTCACACATTTTTTTTAAAAGATTTATAAAAGTTATTGATTTATACAGAGAGAGAGAGAGAAATAGAAACAAGTGGAGGAGGGAGAGAACTAGTGTCTCTCCCTCTTCTCATAAGGACAGGATTCATATTGGATTAGGTCTCACACTTATGACCTCATTTAACCTTATAAAATACAGTCACATGGGGGCTGGCCATTGTTGCTCAGTGATTGACAGTTGACCCATGAACCAAGAGGTCACTGGTTCAATTCCCATTCAGGGCACGTGCCTGGGTTTCCCGTTCGATCTCCAGTAGTGGGCTAGCAGGAGGCAACTGATTTATGCTTGTTTTATATTGATGATTCCACCTCTATACTTCACCTTTCCTCTCTATCTAAAAAGCAATACAAACATATTAAAAATAAATGAAAAAGTACAGTCACATGAGGTGTCAGGCCTGAAATATATAAATTTGGGGGACAGTTCTGTCCATAACACCAGGTTACTCAACAAAAGTATCCCAGATTTTTTTTAAAAAGTCCCCCAGGTGACAGCTGCTCAGGAAGATGAACATTTAACCACCTTGTTTATACTCAATTCCATTTCCATTCTACCAGAATTTCTCATAACCTTATTCTTTTTTCTTTCCATCTAGAGGGCAAAGACTTTGTTGAAGTAATTGAATATTTAATGGACCCAAGGAACAAAGAGAAATTGCAACACCTGTTAAGTGATGAAGCCTGGAAGAGATTTGTGGCTGCAACCAAATTGTCCAGGTAACCTCCAGGGGATGCCTGTATTGTCACCCCATCTCCCCTGCATCTAGATTCCTCTGGCAGGCACACTCCTCCAGGCAGGGTCCATTGCTTTGGGTTGAAGAAGTTCTTTTGCAACAGTTCATGAGGACCATTTCCTTCATATCATTTGTTGGCAGAGAAGGGCCTCAGGTTGAGAAGAGATGAGGCCTGCCGGGGGAAGGTTACGTGACCGTGGGCTCATTACTTAACCACTCTCTGTCTTACTCACATGTTCTATTTCATTGTGAGGAAAATAGGATAATGTGTGTAAACCGTTTAGCCTAATGACTGACACATAGTAGGTGGGCAGTTGACATGAACTTTTAAAAAGATGCAGGGAAAACACAGGACCCAAGCGTCCTCTTGCTGGATGTGAGAGCCACGCAGGACTTCCTGTGGGACAAGCCAGGAAAATCCTGGCCCACATTGTGTCCCTGGGGATTGTGGCTAGAGAGCCTGCTCTCCCTAAGAAAGGGATTGTACAGACTCTGCAGGGTCCTGCTGGCCTGGAAGGGGGAGAGCTGGAGTGAAGCTGGACTGTGTTGGGTTGAAAACTGACTGAATCTCCGCCCAACTCTGGGGCTGTGGGCTTATGTCATCTACCTCTTCAATAGAATGGCGAGTCTGTCTGATATGACTATGGTGAAGGCCTTGGGGTGAACTCCATGATCAAGGGTGAAAAAGCAAATGCAGTCATCTTGTCTGGAGGCCTTGAGAGGCTTGAAGCAGGGTCAGAGCCCGGAGTTGGATGGAGCCAGTGTGGTCCTGGTTGGAGGACTGGTAGGAAGGCTTGGCTGGGACAAGAGTGAGGCAGTTGAGGCACGTGGGTACAAGACTAAGGTGGCCAGGGGCCTAATAATGGAGGGCCAAGCAGTGGCAGGGGGCACATTTCTTTCTTCCCTGATTTGATGCCCTCTCTGCTAGGGGTAGAGGACCCTGGGTGATTACGTCCTCCACACCCTGACTGTGGGCTGGAGGGCCCCTGATCTCCTTGGGGGACCCTCTTCTATTCTCCCGGGAGTAACCTTGACCAGAGGGAAGGCAGTGTGGCTTGGTGACTGCTTCCAGTCAGAATGGGTGGCTGCCAATGTGATGTAATCTCAGGGACTCTGAGTAGATGCACACGTTCCCACCATAGAGAATAGGGCTTCTTGCACTAGCTCATCCAATCAGTGGTTTCAGCTTTAGCAATTCATATACCTGCCTTCGTTAATCACCTGTCCTTCATTATTACAGGGATGTGGCAGATGCACTCTATGAAGACTTGAGCCAGCTGGAAGCACTCATGGCCATGGAGGACAAAGACATGTCCTCAGCAGACCAGATGAATATGGATACCTTTATGAAGGCGTTTCCTCAGGTGAAACAGGACCTTGAGGAATGCATAGGAAAGCTCTACGCACTTGCAGATGAGGTTGCCAAGGTGCACAAGGACTGCACCATCACCCAAGTGGCGGCCTCTTCCACGGGCATTGTGTCTGGCATTCTCACCATCGTTGGCCTGTCTCTGGCACCTGTGACAGCAGGAGCTAGTCTGGTGCTTTGGGCAACTGGGGTGGGACTGGGGGCAGCAGCTTCTGTGACCAGTGTGACCGCTGGCATCGTGGACTTCACAAAGAAAAAGTCAGCAAAAGCCAAAGCCAGCCGCCTAGTGTCAACTGGCAATGACACAGGGAACTTGGTCATGGAGGATCTACATCACAACTCATTCAAAATTGGGCTCCTTTTAAAAAAGTGCAGCCAATCCCTGGTAGGTATTTTGGAGAATTGCCAGGCGTTCAAGCTGGCCAAATCCACTCCTCTCTTTGCAGCTGAGGCTACAAGTGTCATACGCACTGGGGCAATCTCAGGCCAAAGCAGCAAGCAGCTGCAGAAAGCTTTTGGAAGCACTGCTCTGACAATGAGCAAAGGAGCCAGAATCGCTGGTATAGCCACTGCAGGTTTTTTCCTTCTTGTGGATGTAATCCAGCTAGTGAGAGAGTCAAAGCACTTACATGAGGGCGCAAAGGCCCAGTCGGCTGAAGAGTTGAGGAAGCAGGCCCAGGAGCTGGAGAGCATGTTGAAAGAAATCACCTGCATTCACAAAAGTCTTCAGGAGGAATTGACTCTGTTTATGCAGATGTAGGGAGTGGCTACAGGGTTAAGCCTCAGATGGACCTGTAGCAGAGCCACAAACAAGTCCCAGCAAGGAGGGCAGGGCACTCCTAGAATAATTATGCTTTACCTTATAGACCTCCGTAGTTCTTTCCTAGGTAGCTGATGGGCTGTGGGAGGCGCAACAAGTGCTACCAAAACAAGGTGAAACTCACAAGAACATTGTAAACATGTTGACCACTTCCCTTGTTTTGCTTTGTGTGCTCTGACTATAAACTAAAGCTTGTGCTTGCAGGCTGGGTAACTATTTCCTGATCTAGGCACAGTGATCCAGCCTAGCCCCAGCTGTATTCTCCTGTCTGTCTTCTTTAACCCTTCACCTCCCCTACTCAGGCTCATGGAACCTGGCCGCACATAAGGCGCCCAACATGGGGCCTGAGTATGGGGAACTACAATTGTAAGGTGAAGGATGCTCCCATGAGGCATGTTAAGAAAGCAAACGTAAGGTATGGAGCGAGGTTTGGTAAGCAGCTGGGTGTACAACATGGGAAATTCAGGATCTTAGGGAAGGGATCTCTAAAACAATGTTCAATGAAGCATTTTTAAATTTCTTACGTTTTGTTAGGAACTGTAAAGCAAAGGATGGAAGTCCTGGTCAGCGGGATGCTTAGAGCCAGGCTAGGCTGTTTTGTTAAGGAGTGTTGTCTAAGGACTGTCTGATGTAGTCTGTTGTTGATGACCTCAATCCAAATCTGAAGACTATAAAGAAAAATCAGACCCTCCAGGAGGAAATCTAACAGCGTCAGCCTCACATCAACGACATCTTTGCATTAACACCACCTTCGCACCAAAGATATCTTTGCATTGACAGAATCATTGAGAGAAGCCAGAGCATTGTCACCGACTGTAGCAGCCTGAATTCTGAGACCATTCCACAGAGGCTCACCGACCTGTGGCAGCTGTGGGGCCTCCTCATCGAGGAAATGGAGAAGTGGCACCAGTGGTAGGAAGAGACCCAGAGAAGATCCTTGCCCCTGTGTTCACAGGACTGAGACTTGCCCCGATGACAACAATGTGGAAGAAGAAACGAAGGGTATGCAAGGGGCCGAGGTTCTGACTAGTGTTGATGAGCTGCCAGGTTTCTGTAAAGCCTTGCACAGCCAAATCTGAGGAGTCTGAGTAGATAACTTTCATTTTGTAGCTGAAACTTTCATTTTGTAGAAATAGTAAAATGTTGTGTGTAGTTTGTTGTTTTTTTTGCAATGGCATTGTTTTATTATTGTTTTAATAGCCGAGCCTTAAAACTTTTATGTTTATTGAGTAGCTTAAAAACAAAAAAGGGGGAGATGTAGGAAGCAGCTATAGGGTTAATCCTCAGACTGACCTGTGGCAGAGCCACAAACAAGTCCCAGCTTGTAGGTCAGAGCACTCCTAGCATAATTATGCTTAACCTTATAGTCCTCCCTAGTTCCTTCCTAGGTAGCTAATGAGCTGTGGGAGGTGCAACAAGTGTTGCCAAAAGAAGGGGAAACTCACAAGAACATTGTAAACATATTGACCACTCCCTTGTTTTGCTTTGTGAGCTCTGACTATAAAATAAAGTTTCAGCTTGCAGGTTGGGTCACTGTTTCCTGATCTAGGCACAGTGATGTGACTTATCCCCAGCCGTATTCTCTTGGCTGTCTTTTTTAACCCTTCACCACCACTCCTCAGGCTCACCGAACCTGGTTGTGCTGGCTCGAAACACCCAGACAGTGCAGGGAGCAGGCATGTGTGGGAGACAAAGGCATGAACTTATCTTATTAGAGGGTTAAAGTGGGCAAGTTAAAGTGATGGAATTTTGTGTTAAGTAGTTTGGTATTTCTATAGCTGAGCACAGCAAAGGAGGGTTTCATGCAGATGGCAAGTGGGTCAAAGAGAAAGAAGGAACCTGGAGCCTGGAATCAGGGAAGAGAGAGGACAAGAGAGTTGGGATGATTGGGGGAGCTTTATTTTGACTAAAGAAGACATTGGGGTCATGAATAAAGTAAGAGAAGTGGAGGAATAAACACAGAGAAGGCCCTGACTACTAAAAAGTTTACTATGGAAGAAGGTCAAAAAGTTTGAGTTGTTGGGATATGGGAATTACAGTGGCTCCTGGATTGGTCCTCCCCAGGGTTCACCAGCCCAGCAGGACCCCCTCTCTCCCTGGTCCAGGTCTCTAGCCCTGCTTTCCAGTTCCAGCTCGCCTATGTCTTCTAGCAGTTCCTCTTAGGTAGGCAGTGACTTTTTTTTCTAAATTACTATCTACAGTTTAATGAAAACTAGTAATGATTGTGTAACTAAACAGCTTAAAGTATAATCACATGTGTTTTGACCATTCCCTGATTAGTACCCAATCCACAGAGCCACATGCCTATTGAATTCTAAAAGATAATGACTTGTTTATTATTCATTTTCTATACCTGTATAGGCATAAGCTAAAGGCATTGAAGTTCTCGCTTTTAGAAATAATAACCAATTAATATATGGTAATTCATGCTTCCTCTTACTTTCTCTTTCAGTCCCTACCAAAACCTTACATTGTCAATACAGTAAGAATTATAAAACAAATTTTCAACTAGGGAGCTCAAGGCATAAGTCTAGAAACATACTATTAAATGTTTGGTGTTGGGGATACATCAGGAAACAAAGATAAAAAACCTTCATGGACCTTACAATCTCAAATTTGTGTTGAAATAGGTACAATTATGGAATTTAGAGTTATGAATGAAGCTGCTTAAATACATATTCATAATAAAGTATGTTCTTAAAAAACTGCATTAGTAGCCAGGGAATTTGTATGTTCTGTTTTTTTTTTTTGCTGCTTATTTCTTTAATTTTGATTTTATTGTTTAAATTATTACATAGTAGTACATATGTCTCCTTTTTTTCCCCATTGACCTTCCCCTCACATCACCTTTCAACATCTCGTGGATTCAATGCCAAGAAGAATCGCCACAAACTGCCTATTGAAGGGAAAAGGTGGCCCAACGAAGTACTGATGAAGTGGTCATAATAATCTGGCCTTTCCTACCCACCGCACATTCCC